ATGGGTGTTTTCTAATATTATTTTAAAGGTTATTCAACCTTGATCTTTCCCTCCATTTTGATCCCATTGGTCTCCCTGGCTGCTTATAGTAAATGTATTTAATCTCTCTAGATCAAAAGTTTATAGATTCAAGACCTACATTAGGACCAAGTTTATAATCTAGACTGACATTCCAGTGCAATGATAGAGAAGCAATAAATCCCTGGAGGTGCAGTCCTTGAAATGAGGCTCTGCCTATTTTGGTGTTTTATGTGAATTCTAACTTTCTGTTAGCATTATTTTGAAGCAGAGGAGAATTTTCCAGTTTCTCTGACCAATATTCTATCCTCACGCAAATTCACAAAGAATACCCAAATTAATTGATCCTCTTATTGTTTATGTGACTTTCCTGTGCGAATAAGCTGCTACATTTGTCTCTGTGAGTGTCGAAACAAAATGTCTCTTATATGAAGTATTTTAGACATGACAAAATCCTATATCACATACAAATAATAGTTTTGATTGAGACTTTTGACAATGCTGTTCTGAAATCGCTCCCAAGAAATCTTCAGGGTAACTTTCCTTTTTTCCTAAAGAGTGATTTGGCTGGGATCAGGAACTTGAAGAATCAATAATTGAAGTTTCATCCTGCTATTCTGTGCCATTACACAATAGTCTCATCTAGGTGCTGCATTGATCGGGTGCTCTATCATTTCACCACTTTTCTACAAAGCACTACATTTACTTAATAAAATTGATAGTGAAATTGCATTGCAAAGTGCACAACCCACAAATCCAATTTGTTTGTCTCAATTCTCCTGATCAATTCCTCAATAGCAAATATGCCTATCACCCACAGACAGATTATATCACATTATTTTTTTTAATCAGCGAAGTGGATGACACACCCGGAAAATCCATCACTTCAGCATCTCCAAACCACAAAGTGTTCCACATATGCATATCACCTACACATGGACGGATGCACATTGGTGGCCTAATTCCAGCGAGTATTAGACACAGTTTGTCAAGAAATTAGGTTTGGGGACACCAGAGTGTGTTTTCAGATTCTACTGGAATTTAACCAGCTAAAACTGCAAGTTGAGTCCACTGTCTGGCAAGCTCCTCACTGCTTGGCCCATTCAATTTGATGAGCCTTTGGCTTCAAGGGTTAACAAAGGCAATGGGAAGAATTCATATCCCCAGTGTCCCAGGTCCTGCTGATGAGCCTCACTGGCTGGTTTGTCATCAAAAGTGCCTTGGAGGACTGTGGACCCATCTGGTTCAGTAAAGGGACCATCACAGAAGGTTGACTCAATTATGGCCACCTCCTTCTTGCCCCCTCTCCCTTACTTGGAGGTCCAACCTTGTCCTTGTAAAGCACTCCCAAGATGTCACCCTGTGTGAAGGGTTGTATGTAAATACAAGTTGTTATATTCTTTTGAGTAACAATAGACAGTAATCAGATTTCCATAGTTAAGGAAATAGGATGATGATATTAATTGAAAAAGAAAGCCGAGTTAGTGTTTTTTTTATTAGATGTTGGAAAGCATTTATTTCTAGAATAAACATGTGAAGTTTACTATGTTGTACATAAAGGGCTTGTAATTTGTCTCACTGTGGTTTCCCATTAACTTCTCACCAGGGGCTTTCCCCGATTCAAAGGACGATTCAATTTCTAAAGCAGCCCAAATGATATTTCATTACCCGTTTACCAAAAACCACTCCCCATAAATCTGCAACGAGAAGATGCACTGGTAAGAATGATTTGTTGTAAGAATGATCATGGTGGAAATCAGTTTCGCATCTTATGAACACAAAATAAAAAACGATGAGTAATAGAGGAAGGAGTAGAGTTAGTAGAAAGCAACAACAACTTGCATTTTTATGGTGCTCTTCATGTGGGATAACATCTCAGAGCGCTGAGTTAAAATCATAGAATATTACAGCACAGAAGGAGGCCATTCGGCCCATCATGTCTATGCTGACTCTTTGGAAGAGCTACCCAATTAGACACACTCTCCTGCTCTTTCCCCATATTCCTGCATTTTTTTCATTTTCAAGTACCTATCTAATTCCCTTTTGAAAGTTGTTTCTGAATCTGTTTTCGCCATCCTTTCAGGCAATGCATTCCAGACCATATTTTGAGGTATTTTGAAAATGTAAAGTTACATTGCATCTCAGGATTGATTGTAAATTTCTCACAGGTATCTTTTTTTGGAATATATAGTCAAATAAATTTTGGGATCACTTTAGTTAAAATCGCACAGTTTAATATGAAAGCTTGTCAACTGTTACATTTTCCTCAGTGCCCTTTAAGCAAACAGAGTTTTCTAAAAATGCAATTAATTTGTTCCATGAACTCTGAGTGTAGGCAATGCATAGAATAACATATAATACTTACATTTGACCTATCACATTGGAAGGATAGCTCAAAGTGGTTCACAGGATATACTCTAAAGTATGTGACTGTATTTGTAGGTGAATTAGCAGCCAATTTGTGCATAACAGTGGCCCACAAACAACCATGAAGTGAATGACCAATTTTGTTTTGGGGATTGTTGGCCAATGCACCAGGAGACACTATCCTCTCTTTTCAAATAGTGCTACCTGAACAGGCAGATGCAATCTTGTCTAACAGTATCTCCGACATCCCTGGCTTGTGTTTTAAGGATATAATATTGTCGTTCCGAATTCAGTCAGCACCGGGAAATGAACTGAACTTTGCTCTTGTGATATTAAGCTACAATTTGCAGAGTGGGAAGTGGGAAACTTATTATTTTCCCTCTGTACCCAAAGGGTAATTCCAATAATTTGAATCTGGTTATCCAACTTGGTAAATAACGGGATTGAAACCTTCCAGTCTGGCTCACCACTACGCCAGGCAGTGCCTTTCACTAGTCTTAGCATTTTTGATTTTCTCCATTTTCATCCTACCTCACTTCTGTCAAGGGCGAACACAAGTCTTGCAATCAAATTACTTCTTCATGTTCCGAAGGGAATAATGCTCCATGTGGCGCTTAGTTTAATGCACCTTGGCAATATGTATCGATAATGAAAATAACATATTGTTCAGCTGTTGAATTATTGCAGTAGTCAACACAGGAATAGGCTTTTATCAAAATCATTTCAAGGCTGTCTGTGATGAAAAGGAATCCATTGCTTCTGATTAAAATATTCTTTCTCTTAGTACATTGAATTACAGGTCCTCAGCTCATTATGTTCACAGTGAAACTCCCACTTGAATTAAATTGGGGTATATCATGCGCATTAAGGGTTGGCCTGTCTATTGGTGTTTTCCTATACTGTAGGAAGTACATCGAAAAAGTGCTGTGATTTTGCTGTTAATAGTGCAACAGTATTAATGAACTCTTTACATTGCTTCTTTTCAACCTTATTTTAAAAACTCCTGACAGCTGTAATATAAGACTACATTGTCACCTGGAGAATCTAGGCTTTTGACAGCTCCTTACACATGAATAGCATCCAAAATGTTTACTGAACCTATTCTCAGACATTTGTCCCTGTGGTGCTGGCCGACATCATAGAACAATTTGGAGCTTCTTTTGGTTACAAGATTAAGTGGCCTGCCTTCAAGCTCTTGTTGAATTTGTTTTCCCAGCAGAATTTTAGGATTTTTATGGCATGCTTGAGGGAACATAGTGTGGTCTAATTGTCAACCTGAATTTAGATTCAGTCAGAAAATATAAGCTTCAAAATAATTAATAAAGATGATTTGTTGTAATCTACTGTTATCGGGTTAAGACAAATTTCTAATTTCTGCTGCTCTGTCCCAGGGAGATGCCTAGTGGTGGTTTTCTTGAGCCACACTTGCGCACCACCCAGTGCCTGGCTCAAGACAATCATTTGCAGAGTGTTGGGAAAAGGTGACATGGTCATTCTCCAGGGTGCAAAATGTTAAGGGTGGAAATTAGTAAATGCAGTAACAAAAATTAATTCTGTTGCTCATGAGTTGGGCAGGATTTCCTTTATGTTGGATACTCTTTAAGAAGGAATGACCAATTAACTAGGAATCAATGAAAGGGGATCAGGAAGTATAAAGCAGGATGCAGGGGTAACTAACTAAAAGGGTTTTGGTTGTATTGTGTTTTGAAAGCTGAGAATAAAATAGTGATTTCTACATTTGAGTTGTGAGAACATAACACATTACTTTAGCTTGGGTGGAGAAAGTGGAAGAAAATATACTGTAAGTCAGTTACTAACCTTCTGTACTGCAGGTTACATTATATTATGGTAGGTTAGTTGCTAAGTTTTTACAGCACCATTTAGGCTTAAATATAGAATAGCTCGGAATTAAATTTAGTTAGCGAAGCCATTTAAATCAGGCCAATTTAATTAACTTGCAAAACCTTGTACATATTTAAACTTTAAGCCATTCAAGAGACATCTTCAATATCGAACAGATTGGTCAGATGACCTACTTTATCCAAGGACAATTGAATCTGAACTTAGATGACTTGGCTTGATTACTGTAGAGTAAATGGGACGCAACTTTATTTGAGGGTGTATTTTGCGAAAACAGTTGTTTCTTTGTAAAAACGAGTATACTTTTTACAGGCATTTTAAAATGTGATTCGGAATGCGTTTACTGTGACTTGCATTTAAATTACATTGTTTTTAGTCCAAATCAAGCAGGTCTGTGAATTAATCAACTTAGATTTGCAAGAATTTTTTTTATTAAAAATTATGTAACCATTTGTGATTTACTCTGCTTGGCATTAAAGTGGAAGATCAAGTGCAGAGCACATCTTGTCCAGATTTGCTTATGTCTGAATCACTGAGCAGAAAAACAATTGTAAATAAATGTACTCCAGCAAGATCCTATGCATTATTTGCAGAAATCCACCTGGAAATTTAACATAAAAGGTCAATATTGAATGGATATTGATGTAATCATTTCATATCATCCTCTTTTCTGATTAAGGTTTATCTTTGGTTTAAGATATTCATTTTTAATTCGGTATTTTACAATTGCTTATTTTCCCTCTTTCTCTTCATAGGTGGTCTTAGTCTTTGCTCTCAGCATTGGTGCACTTGTAATATACTTCATAGATTCTTCAGAGTAAGTATCCCCAACACTTTTTTTAATTCTGAGTAATGCAGGCAAAAATGTCAATGATTTTAGGTTATAATTAAAAAAAAATTTATACATTTATAGTCATTTGAGAAGTGTTAATGTTTCAAGAGCTTTTATTAATGATGATTAGCATTTTAAGTAATTTAGAAATGTTAAGTTATTGCTGTTCTATTTTCAAATTAAATACTCAATGTGCAATCATTTATTATGTGTTCTACTTAGTTACACTCAACAATTAGTCATTGTCTCCTCTTTCCGGGGCACACTATGCCCATTGTAATTATAGTTAACATTGACTAAAGTAAACAGACCTGTTTTTATTTCCACATTTTCTCAATAACAGGAATTAGAAGTATTTGTAATAACTCTGAGATTCCTATGATAGTATTGCAAACAAGTAAGGGAAATTTTTGCATATAAATATGTGTACAAGACTGCCAGTTACTCAAGCTCACTTGTCTTTGCTGGAGTTTTGTCAGTTTTCAGTTGAATCAACAGGTGGAAGACGTCCTTTTGTGGTGGGACAAAAGAGAGAGAGAAAGAGACACTGCCACTACCAACTACACCAATTTGTACAGACAGACAAGTGTTCGTACAGTCTTGCTCCGGACTGTCTTATCCTCCTAGACAGGATTATGTATGTCAGTGAATGGATGAAAAACAGGAATCATCCCCACCATGACAACAAAAAAATCTATACAAGGATTTCAACACATTACAGCACTTATCAAATATGCTATGCTATATAAAAAAATCTTGACTCACATAAAAATGGCAGCTGACGTCTGCACTATTGCTGTCAAAATCTTAAATTATAAGATAAAAACCCTACAGTTTAAAAGGTAACTAGTTGTAATAATGCAAGCTGCTTAGAACAACCAGAGGGAGTTTTGATTCTCTATTATCTCAGTAAAAATACTTCAGCAATTCGAAGTCATGGAAAAAGCAACAGATTCTTCTATGTACGCAAAAATGGAGAATTAAACTAACATTTTCAAAGTATTCCATAAATTAATTAAAATATAAGTTTAGAATCACTTCCATTTTTGCAAATTAATTTTTTTCATGAAAGCCACCCATCTAACTTCAAATTAAATAAACCGTAGAAGATTAATTTTAGTCAGACACCTGTGATGGGAACCCAGCATGGTTTGGTCAACATTTGCACTGCGTCTCAGATGAAATGTTTCAGTCCTTTATTGGAAAAGATTACAGAAAAGGGATGGAATTGATGTGTTTTCTCCAGATGCTACTATTTAAATCTGTAAAATGTTTTGGGTTTTATTATTGGAAAAAAAATTGACTGAAGTGGTCTAACAATGTTTCAATATGAATTATATCAATAAACCGAGAAGTGATGTGATCCTTGTCAGGAGGATAGTGCACCTATGTTAATCAGTACGATTTTACCACTAAAATAAAAAGCCCTTCAATAGTTGAAACTGGCCTGCAGAAATAAGGACAGCAATCTGATTTTATTTGTCTCATCTCCTGCTTTGCACAACTTCAATATTTTTTTAAAAAAAGTATTAAGTTGCGTGGTGCTTACCAGCTGGAAAGGTAGGGCGTCAGTAACATTTTTGTTCTAAAGAAGGCTGCAAGCTTAACATTTTATTAATGGAATCTGCCATCAAAATTACTTTATCTAACACCAGCTCTTTCTCCCATTCATTTTCTCTTTAAAAAAAATCAAATTGTTAGTTCATCAAGGTAAGATGTGCATGTCCTTGTTTAATTCTTTTCATTGTTTAGACAGATTTGCATTGCTGCAGAACGTAGACTGTCTGAGAAAGTAGCATTGAGTAGACTGCTAGATCTATTAGACTGGAGAAGCATGCGATTGCACCCATTTACTTTGGGACGGTACTAGTGAATTCATTTTAGCACTGGCTTTTTATTTAGTTAGACTCTTTCCTTGCATAAATATACTAGCTATAGAAACCTGCCTACCCGAGAATGCTTCTGTCAATAGTATTCTAGCAATGCATGCAATTAGAAATGGTCATTATTCATAATATTCATCTAAAAGAACATTTATTTGAGATTGTTTCAAAGAATTTTAATGCGCATTTCTTTTTCAGTTTTGTTCATATTTTTATGTCTGACAAAAACTGAAAATCATTGCAGTGATTCTGTGTGAGATTATTGTACAGTGCAAAATGCTCGCAAAATCATATATTGCCTCTATCTGCTTTATTTGTGTGGTGAATAATACCAACCAGTATCCTTACAGGTTGGTAAAGCAAATATCCTTGCAGGGTTTATTTTCTGCCCCCATCCATTTGTTCCTTCACAGCTTCTCCATATAACAAGAGATTAATTAACAGTGATGGTAAAGAAGATGGCAAATCATTCTACCATTCAGTAGCCGTCAATGTTTCAGCTAGAGACGTAACAATTCACTTATGATTTCTTTAATAAGGGCGTTAAAAATGATGATCCTTCACACATTACTGAAGGGAAGCAATGGCTGCCACAGTGACCTTTCTGTTGTATTTTTTGCAGGAATTAACATTATATGCATTTTTCATTTGTGTTGTTGATCATTTAAGGCTGAATTGGTGGAACTCTCGGCCTCTGCATCAGAAGGTTGTAGGTTCAAGCCCCACGTCGGGACACTGGGGGAGCTTTGCACTGTCAGAGTTACTGTCCTACAAATGATATGTTAAACTGAGGTCCCTGTTCAGCCACACTATAAAGATTCCATGGCCCTATTTGAAAAGAAAAGGGAGTTTCTCTCGGTCTCCTCGTTAACAATGTCCCAGATAATATTGGTTATTTATTTTATAGCTGTTTGTGGGACTGCACAATAGGCTGCCACGTTTGCTTAAATGCTGTTACTGTAGTTTACCATAAATCCTGTGAAGTGAAAGAGAGAAGAAATTGAAGATCTTGAATCTTGATATCCACATCATCTACAAATGAAGAATAATCTAGCCAAGTGATCTGTGAGTGAATGCTTGAGTTGATACATCCAGTCTGCCTGACAGTGTAGGTGCTTATCATGGTCCTCTGCCAAAACTGAACTGTGAGTCTAAGAGACCAAAAGAAAATATATTAATAATAACTCTCAAAGGTACATGATCAGTTACTCCAAATGTGACGTTGTGAAGAGGTGCAGTAAAATGCAATGTGTTAGAAGAGATTAAGTGAGTTCAGACTTGCTGAACTTGATATCTTCACAGATGCAGTATAAATACATACAGTAGCTGCACTAAATTGTAATGTCCTAAGCCTTTTCTGATACTGTGATGTAAGCTACCTAAATTCAACTGCTGTAGATTAAATTGAAACTGAATTTAAGAATTTTCCACAATTCTGTGCAATCTCACATTTTAGACAGAAGGGTCTTATGAGCTAAGACAAAGAATCCTGGGCCACAGAGGCATTTGTATATTAATTATTTTTTGTGCACAGGGGAAATTGATCAGATCGAACAACTTGATTGTCCTCTGCTTTGTCAGCCCATTAATATGCAGGCAAAGTGATTTCTGCTTTCATGTTCTGGAATTCCTGTGTGCCATAAACATCATCTGTGGTGCTGATGGGTTGATTTTGATGAGCATCATTGAAAGGCGAAACAAATGCAAATTTGTCTTCACTTTAAAGTACAAGTGTTCTAGACAATAAAATATGAACTTGTCAGAATGTGAATAGAGTCAAATGAAGTGGCACGTCTTCAAACTAGAAAAGTGTTGTTTATAACAAAAGATCAGTTCATGTTTAGTGGAAGCTTATCTGGAATTCAATGTGGAAAATGAAGACCTTTATAACTAATGCAATCGGAAGACTAGAGAGCACAATAGATAAGAGATAAAAAGTGATACCAGTTAATGTGCTACTGCCTCCCTCCTCTCCCTGATAAACGTTTTCATTGTCGCAAGTGTGAAGTGCTAGTTGTCATTTTCACCACAATCATGGTGTGTCAATGCGATGATGTATTTCAAGGGTATTATGCAAGAACATAGTTCAGTTGTGAACAAAACAAAAACAAAAAGTCCACCTTTTCTTGAAAACAATTAAGTTGACTGTGCCTTAAAAGCAGCAATCTGCAGTAAAATCTTTTTCCTCCATATTACAATGAATATTGTAATATTCCAGGGGGAAACTCGTACCAAATATAATGGTCTGAATGGAGTCCTTCTGTGCTGTACATCCGAGGATTATAATGGAGAGGAAAATGAGAGAGGAGCAAATAAGAGTGTGATTGTAATTACTGGAGTTGAATAGTGATAATTACAATCTTAAACCTTCAACAACAACCTCTGTTAACAGACGGAACATAATGGTCTCTGGGAGGACTTTTCATCCATTTTATAAGTATCACATATAGCAATTATATTTACATCAGTCGCTTCATAATTCACAAGGGAAAATAACGAACAGTTGGGCTGCATTTGTGAGTCACTAAGTTGGATGATAAGAGTGGTTAGGAGTCATTTATAGACCTGCAGGTACGTCTCATTTCACATGTGGCTCAATATTGTCGTAAGAGATTGACAGTGTATGTATTCTGGTAGGAAGAGATGAAATAGGCTGAAGGGCTTTCTTCATCTAAGTCTCTTGCGATCTTGTGAGATAAACCATTCCATTTAGGAACCATTTAGTTGATCACAGTGAATAAAGGAATATGCTGCAACTGAAGTAAATAACTAACGATTCTAGGCAGAACAGTTAATATTTCTCACTATTGGAATAAACAAATACTGACATAAATTTGTTCCAATATTTATAAGGGATGAAGAATTTAATAATGCAACAAGCTGGTTACTGACTTCATGTGTCAGAGGTGGTACTATGTGGGATGTGATTATTGATTGCTTCATAAAAGAGTACTTTCTCAAAGTACCAAAGACAACCAATTATGCAACGGGAGAAACACTTTTGTGATTCCAGCACCAATATCTTCTGTAGTAAATGGTGACAATGAAATCAATGTTCATCCCTAGACATTAATTATTTGTTGCACTGATAAAAATGGATGA